CTCCTGGCCACGGAGCCCGTTCCCATATTAGCGTTGATGACCCTGCTTTCAAGCATTTAGCCAATCCATGCTACTATGAAATCCTTGACTCCATTCTTTCTAAGCGCCTTTCGAATCGCGTTCGTGTTTACGTTATTGAAAGCTCCGTCGATGTCAAGGAATCCAGCCAAGGTGTACTCCTTTAGCTCTTTCAATAGTGATCTTTCAATAGTGCCAACCACTTCGTGGAGAGCACTTTCTACCGACATACCCTTACGGTATACGTTTTGTGCCATTTCCATTGTGCGGATACTAGTCTTTCCTCTAATATACAAGTCAATAAGTCTCTCTAGTGTTTTCAAACTAAACGATTGGTCTGTAATCCTTTGCAGTAGAGTGACTTAGCTTTCTCCATCTGGACACCACGATTTGTAAGGATCAAAGGAGTTAATTGCCCAAGTAACCTTGTCTCTGCTAATAATATTTACGACTTCATTCCTAGCTGCTTGAACAGGATTTAACTGAGAATCACAGTCGGTTGAGTCGGTGCAGCCTGGGAAGTGTGTCGTCATTAGAATATTAAGGGATTCCCGACTCGAGTCTGTCCATGAGCCGTCTGGCTCTTTAATACTGCTTAGAGTTGTTGAGTCTCCAGATAGTATTTTTCGCAGCCTTGATGGTTCATTTACAGTCTTAAAGTCTGGTAACAGTTCTTACAGTCTACAGAACTGTTGCCAGGAATTTCTCTTTACAGTTTAAATTCTGTTTTTGTATATACCAGTTAAAATTATTTCATTAGCAAGAAGGTTAACCATTGCTTTTTCTAATTAACTAGAATTTCATTTTATTGCCAGTAAATTCCTTGTAGATTTATGTTTTCCACTTATCCGGTCCTGTGTGAATTCGAATATAATCAATTAATGATCACTAGCTGTGTACACATCTGCCACTTTCTATAGACTGTTTTTACAAATACTTCTACTTCCAAATGTAAGATCAATGGTTGATATGAAACGGCCATTATCGAAAGTATGGTTAATGCCATCATTAAGCAGAAAAATATTAACTGAAGCAAAAGGAGTGCAAAACCCCTGTTATTACTAATGGTATTTTCTGTTTTGCATTCTCTACGAGGTGATCAAGCATTCCTCTATGGTGTCGTTAAGTGAAACATAGCAGCTGTAAAAATGTATGCCATCTATTTCTGCATATACGAAGCCATTAGGCTGGTTGCTCTCAATAATTTCATAGCTTTTATGGACACAGATATGTATTGCCGCTTTACCGCTTATATCTCTGCACCACCTACCATCACACTCCGGGACGTTAAACGGTTCTGAAATTAAAAGAACTTCTGCTGTTAGATCATTTGCTGTTATCATCAGTAGGTCTTGCGCAACTTCACAATGGTTTAAGTTGATTTGAAAGCACTTAAGCATGTAAATATAATTTTCTACAAGCGGTTTGGTAAACTGGAAAGTTTTTATTTAACATGTCATGATTATTATTTTCGACAGGACATAGCAGACACCTGGGTGAATTGTCGCAAGATTTGGCTTTATGACCTGTATCACCACACCTAAAGCATGCTCCTGCTCGGTTGGTATCATTTTGCAGTACATTGACACATGCCTATATTATAGATATTTATAGCATCGAATTGGTTGTAGGTAGTCTCTAATTCTACATACTACCCAGCCAATCCGAAAGTGCCCAACATTAATTAGAATTTTAGCGTCGAGTGTGGGTAGAACCAATCTCGCATTGTGTGTCCCATACCGTGAAGGGCGAATTACTTTTACCACTTCTGGCTTCATACTTTCAATATTAGGAAATTGGTTTCCAATGGCGGTACAATCATCTGAAACTGTTGTCGTCTCGTCTAGGTCATGACATTCAATTATCGTTTGCTGGCTTAATATATGTATATCAGCAAATCATGGAGCGCTTCTGCAATGTTACCTTTATGCTTGTTTGCATCCACTTCAGATCCGCGCTTAAGAATCAACATAAGTTCACCTTTCGTAGTTGTTCGAATTTTATTTACAGTTCAACCCAATTCTGCCAATTCAGAGCTCGACTTTAACATCTTAAGCATATCGGCATAGCTTGCTTCACCCTTTTTATGGACAATTATCGCTTCTGGACGTGTGCGCTTCTCTCTTACTTTGACAGGTGCTTCTTTGCTTCTGTTTCGAGTGACTTTAGTCCACGCTGCTTTATGCGTCTCATTTGTTTTCGGCTGCGATTCACTCTTCGTTATGCTGAATGTTGGCATACTGCTAGGTGCAGACATCTGATGCAACTGTTATATACAGTTTGTGCTGTTATATACAAAGTACATAATATATACATATATAACAACAATAACATCTCCAACATATCTTTTTCTCTCGCATATTTATCTAAACTCTTATTAATTATTTACATTTTTATTAATTATTATTTTATAATTATTTACAGATACTCTGCAAAACACTAGCACGGAAGTGTCGATCATCATATCGATACTATGAAATCGATATCATTAAATCATTATTAAAAGAACTGCGGTGAAAGCGCAAAACAGCCAGCTGTAAACTAAGCTTTGCGCTACACTACCGTTTGGTCGAATGCGTATATAAGACAACGCATTTGTTCAGGAAAGACACTTAGTGATCAACATCCCAAGTCATAAGAAGCACGCTGGAGAACTTTCAGCAATCATCGTAGACACCTTAAAGCAGCTAACTATCAAGAAAACCGCGTCAACAATTTCTTTTTTTTTATAATTAACTTACATTAATTATTATGTTGAAGCTGTTTTGAGCTAGTGCACTTAAGCACTTATACTCTTTCTTAACTCGAGGTTTCTTCAAAACCCCTCTCTACACCTTGACTAGATTATTGTTTATCACTTCATCAGACTAAGACTAAGCAATAATTGACCTCAGATCTGCATACCTAATTTCAGGGCTCTATCCTTTATGTATTTTTTGATGGGATCAATCTTAATGTCCCTGATTATGTCATTCTTCCTAATTTACCATGAAACTTTGAAAAGTCTTCTCACAGCCTGGCTTTGTACAATTTCTAGCCAGTGAATAGTAGTGTTTGAAGCTTTGCTGAACGCTACACAACCATATAGAAGTGATTGACGAATTACTTGGTTATATATCAGTGTCTTGTTCTTAGCTTTGAGATTTTCGTTTCTGAATAGCGGTTGGAGGTAAACCTCGAGTAAGCGTGAATACGTTTATGTACTTCCAACCAAATTCCACATAAGCGTGAATACGTTTATGTATTTCCGACTAAATTTTATAGGCGTGAATACGTTTATGTTCCTTTCCTTATAGGCGTGAATACGTTTATGTCCCTTATTTCGTAAAAATTTGTTGTCACGATCCAGGACAAACCGATGAGTTTACCCCAGCAAAAGAACAAGCAAAACTTGTCGTTACATGTTGAGCAGGACAATAAATATTTAGGAGTATACGTTACTTACTTACTTGGTTGGCCATTACAGACGTGTGTCGTCCTTGGCCGCGTCGAGTAGCCTCCGCCAGTCAGCCCGGTTAGTTGCCTTCTGACGCCAGTTGGTAGTACCGAGCGCCCCCAAATCGTTGGTCACCTGGTCCTTCCACCGAAGATGCGGACGTCCTCTACCGCGTTTTCCACCTGCGGGTACCGAATCAAATACCTTTCTAGCCGGAGCACTTTCTTAGTATACTTTATAGTTAGGCCACTATAAAGTATATAGTATTTGATAATATACCGTACCTTAAGATACTTGATCATATTCCAAAAAAATGAATTTTGTAAAAAGCTTAAAATTAACATTTTCAATTAAGAAAATAGGGCAGCAAAAATGAATTTTATAAATGATAGTTTGCAAATCTGGTATACAGAACGATCAAAATTGACTTTCAACTGAAATCTGAAAATACAGACAAATAGATTGACAATCTATATAATATCTGACAGTTAAGTAGGTCTTACCAGCTTAATAAACTGGGACAACATAACCAAGTTACCCCTTGTGGTAAATTTTAGGAACGTAAAGGAAATGAAGGCAACGAAATAGCTAACTATCCCTCCCGCTAAACAAGTAGCCCAAGGTAAAAGAATTGGATGAACTGTAAAGGTTAAATACAAGCTACAAGATTTATCCACCAACATTAAGCACTTTCTCATAGTCTCCTTATTAAAGACACTATTATTATTATTAATAAAAAATGTTAAATTTGTTTAAAAATTTATGTTTTATTTGTAGTTACTTAACATTTGTTACATTTGTTACATTTGTTACATTTGTTAAATACATTGTGAATATTTTACAGCTTTAGTTATACCATAAATATTGAGATATTCTAGAAAAATTTATAAGAATTTCTCATTATTTTTACATAAATATTTTAAACAAGTTTTATCAACGTTCATAATTGTTAATAACAATAATATTAATAATATTAAAATTACAAAATTTTAATATTTGTATTTGAATTTGCAAAATGTTTAGTAGGTCAGGGCAGAAAAAAAATGCGTCGGTCGGTTTTCTCCTCAAACAAAACAGCTGAGCTGAATGACACATGGGCGTAAGTGTAAAACTTTGTGTAACACCAGTGGGCGGAACTACTAAACTACACTGTAGTAAACATGTACTGTAGTTCTCGACCATTGGTATAGTTAACTATTGCCATAATACATTGCAACTATTGAATAATTAAAACCGATATTATACTTTATACTTTATACTAAGTTAATAAAACTCAATGCAAATTTCATTAAATTATTATTGATAATTTGATGAAATCTGAAATGAAGTCCGTTTTTATACTTAACCACGTAAGTTAAATTTAATCTTCAATTGTGTAATGAATTAAGTAATAATTTGTGTAATTAATAATGTAATTAAATGTGTGTTATGTAATTTTATTATATTAAATTTAAGTAATTAATTACATATTTATGTAATTAATTCAATAATCGCGTAATTAATTATATAATCATGGAATTAATTATATAATCGTATAATTAAGGATCTAATTAAATGTGAAATAATAAAATGTGAAAGAAATTAAAAATTAAGATACTTTTACAAAAAGTATAAATTTCTTTCATGTAATTGAGAGGGTGGACAATGTATGCTTTCAGCAACTAAATAAGCTAACTTATGCGCATACTGACAAACAGCCGGGACACGACAGGTACCTGTGTAGTTATAGTACATGTGCGTCATTTTGTATGTGAGCATTTGTATACGATCTGGTGTGAGACCCATGGTATCATAAATTACATTATAACTCGTAGGAGAAACCGTACCCTGACGCACACTTTGCGAAACTATGAAGAAATCATAGCGTTCCGGCAATGTTATAACATCATCAACGACTGTTCCTGGTGGTGGATTATTATTGCTGAAAAAGTAGCGAGTATTTAAACGTTTGGAAACAACTATGAAAGCTAAACGTGGTCCAATTTCATGTTTTCCAGCCGCTTCATAGATTTCTTGTGCCTTGATTCGTAAATGGTTAAGCTCAGTATTTACTACTTGATGCAGTTGACCATCGCCGACACCATCACGATAAAATAAAATGCGTTCAGGCAAAGATCCGTGTTCATTTCTATATGCTCTCAAAGCGAATGTGAAATGCAGTATAATATCATTTGAAAGCTCTTGAAATTTTTGGTGCTTACTAACAGCCGAAAAATATCTTGATGAACTGCGGACATCCATTGTGGCAACAAGGGCGCTATATGAGGTATTCTTATCCTTAGAAGAATGACAAACATCAAATCCAATTGTCATTAGACCTTTGAGTGGTAGATCAATCATCCATGGTATACCACGTAGTTTGGCGTTCATTTGTATGACAACTTTAGTAGCGATTGACATTAAACCTGCACTTTTTTCTGAAGTAGGTGCTATCATTTTCATAGTAACAACTTGTGAAGCTACAGGTCGATCGATGCAACACTTCTTTTTAATGACAGAGTACCTGGAACATATTATAATAATGAAATTATATAGATATATGTATATTATTCGTATATATTTACTTTTCCTCGTTGGGTTGTTGAATAACAATCATTAAAATTTGAGGATCCTCTGAGGTTGCCATTTCCACTGCAGTTGTATAAGAGTTGTTACGATCGTCATCCATTTCAATGCTATATAAGTTAAAAACAAACAAAGCAAATAAATTTAAGGTTAATTATTTCTAATTAATTATTTCTAAGACAATTTCTTGTTAAACTATTAATGCGCACTGAGCAGGTGCATTTAATAAAGTTTAAATTACACTCTGAAGGTGAATATTCTGATTTTCCATAACGTCAAGTATATTTAATGACAGGCGTCGAATTGTTAAAGTTATGAGATATGATCTCGTATTTATCTTAATTTCTTTATTTCATTCCATACTTTATTGAAGTACATTGTTAAACGGTTTTTAAGTTATAAAGTGCCATGAATGGAGACAAGAATGTTAGAATGGCTTGGGTAATAAAGCAAGAGTAAGTTTTTCTTGAACTGTTGTAGAAGCAACAGAACAAATTTTACTGCCGCCCGTTTCAGGCCCACAACATTCGGAAAAATCGCATATTAGGTTATTCAAGCTTGTCGTCATATTTAGAGTCCTCTTAAAAAATTCTCAAACAAGTGACAATGTTCATTCCCTTCACAAATACAACTAAACTAAACATTGCAGTTTCCTGCAATATTACTGACAAGGAAT